ATCTTATTTTTTTCCACAATGTCTTTAGAATAGCGGCTAGTATGAAGTTCTGGAGTCGTTGATGCAATGAAGTTAGATATAACACTAACCTCACTATTGTCTTGCCAACGAGCTACAAACAACTTATTATTTTTCTCTACTCAGAAATCATAGTCATACTTTTTGAGAGATCGACGAGTAGCTAGAATGTCATTTGCTTCTCGTATGCGATTTATCTTACTGTTGTAGTTGCACGGAAGTTTCTTTCATTTTAAAAATAGAATAAGTAGTAGCAGGAAAAAAAGTTGTCAAAATATATAGAATGTTTCTCTGGATTTGGTACAGACTCTAGCATCTACAATACAATAGAAGCTCCTAGTCCAACTTTTTTATCATATGGTACAGATGAACCTCCATATGGTATAGCTTTCAATAAATAGCCCGTGTCAGTGCACAAACACCAATACTTGAAACCGAATCGTATTGGTTTTCTCAGATGAACTAGCAAATTCAGAAATCTTTGATTCATATTCTATTTCCATTTCACCACATATATCCACGTTTGATTGATGCAGGTATTTTCATTAAAAATTCCATCTCTTCGTTTCTCAGTTGATGCAAGGGTTCCATTCTCGTCGCCACTTCAATTATTTATATACACCTCCAACTTTTTTTTGTGTTTGAAACTTTTTAGAATTCTTTTTCTTAAAAAATAAATAAATAAACAGATTACTTATATGTACTTATCGCGTAGAGAAAGTAAATTGCATGCAATCATCCAATGTTGCGTTTTCGCAACAGCTGATTATAAAGATGTTATGTTACTATGACATTATACAATATTGATGCACAGTTGCATCTATAACAGAGGTTATATCTATAACATAGGTGTATTTCTATAAATAATATTCCTTTAACAATTTTCTTGAATTCAAGTTTTGTTGAATATCTTACATCCGATACTGATGTTGCATTCCACATGTGGAGGTGCTCAATCTCCGTGTTAGCTTTAAAGGTTATTTCTTTAATTTGTAAATGTGCGATTTGGTTATTTTTTTTTTTCATTAATTTATTTTCTAATTTTTCTGAGCATATTCGACTTTTATATCGAATATTACATTTATTCAGATCATTGTTAGAGTTGTAATTAGTATATTTTATAATAATACAAATTTAAATATTCGATAAAAGGTAGCTTCAGCAACGGTCGAAAGCTCTGCTTACTAAAAACACATTCCTTATATTGTTGCACTATTATTTATAATTTATTTGATATTAAAATGAAATGAAAATTATTTAAATAATAATAAATTAATAATGAATTATCTTGAAAATTTACTTACTCTTAAATTTTCACAATTCGATTGATTTGCATAAAAAAAAATTTTGTAAATCTAAAAGATTGACAGTACAATTAAATTTTTGACAATCAGGGTTTTGTTTAAAATTTTAATTAGGGTACGCACAAAAACTCCCCATAAACTCCTATTTTTGGGGAGTTTTTTATAAAATTTACTATAAATTTTATAAAATTTATTAAAAGTACTTAAAAGCTATCTTATAACTAATAGGTCCCTTACTCAGAGAGTCGATGATTGTGTTTCGGATTGTAACTAACCCGAAATGTACTGAGTAAGGGCTCGTGTTGTCTTCCTCACCGCCTTGTCCGTCTTTATGGATGAGACTATAAATTGTTGCCTTGTTGCCCTGCTGGACGAAGGCGCACTACGCTGGGATGAAGTATGTTGGGATGCAGTATGCTAGGATCAAGTATGCTTTGAAACTACCAATGATGATGGAAATTCGGTTTCAGCTGCTGTACTACACCTTCACTGTTAATTACAATTGGTGGATTGAAATTGTGGCACTAACTGCAATACTCGTGAAATTGGCCATAAAAGGGCCAATTTATTGCGTTGTCAGCGCCTTCGCCACCTCTACCTGTCAGTGGATTTTTGAGACGCTAAAAAATAAAGTATTATTATTCTATTATATTTAGAAATTACAAATATTTACAAAATTTATTACAAATGCTCATTAAATAATGAAAAATTTTCTATATTCATTTGAATCCAATTATGAATATAATAAAATGGCATTAATACATAAATGCATTTAATTAAATCTATTTTGATTTTAGATCTCAATAGAATTTTGCTAGTGAGTTTGACCATTTTTAATGTAAAACGCTAGCAGTTGAACCATATGTTGCAGTGTTGTAGTTGACGGTACTCCGTCGATTCGTGCTCATCGTTGCCATCTCACGGTACTCATGCAACAGGTCGGTGTACTTCGTACCTATGCTGCACGCCCGCACCTTGATCGTTTGTACCTAGACAGTGTTACCTTTGAACATAACTGTTGTTTTATTGTCAATCAATCGCTTTGGTTTCATGTCATAGTGCACAAGTCATAATGCAGTTGGCGCCAACGATAGGGGGCATCTGACGTCTACAACCACGATAAAATTTAAAACGATGAATTATTATATTAGCTGCTGGATAAAAATGACTCGTCAATAGTTTAATTGCCGCATTAAATGTAAATTTCTCATCTAATATGTTAACCGGTGTGGCAACCGATTTTAATATTGTATAAGTTTCCATCCCACATGAAGCCAGAAAGACAGCTTTTTTCTTTTTTGCGTCTGTAATATCATTAGCCAAAAAGAAAAATTCCATTTGTTCCATATACGGCTGTCATTTTCCTGACGCCATGTTAAATTGGCTTAAATCTTCGAAATTCGTCACCATCATTTAATTTTTTTTTTAAAATAGTCTGCTCACAAGAAATGTTTTATTCTCATCGCCAATTATGTTATATACTTTATTGATTTAATTAATATATATCTTATATATAATTTGAAACGCTTTCACTGCCGATAGAGTTTCTTCATGTAAGCACGAGATTAGATGATTAAATTTTTCCGTTGTTGAAATAAAGGCAACATTGTCCACAAGATTTGTAAACGAATTTATAAAATTTTTTTACTCTAAATGCTTACCATCGAATTTAGGTAATTTTAAATTTGATAAGCAATTAGATGGCAGATGAGGTACCGAAAACGTTTGTTCGTGGAAACTTTGTCCTCTACGCCTATCAATTAGTCCTGAAATTAAACATTTTGTGCGCATATACATAACTCATCGAGATCTGCTCTTGTCGGATCCGTGAGACAGAATCTTTCAATTTTCGTTTGGTAGTAGGATCAGCATACCTAATCGACATTCCAATTCTGTTGTTGATAATAGTTTATTGCTATCAATAATATTTTTAATTCGGATCATACTCTCCTTTGATGTCTCTCATTGCTGTTCGAGTTCGTCTAAAGTTGGTGTAGCGGGGGTTTGCATACTGTACTTTGTTAATCTTGAAAATCACACTGCCAACCAACTACCGACTAATTATAATCAGCTACCACCTACTTTACATATATAGGTATATATATAATTGTACGTAAATTAATTTGGACACTTCTGGCGTGTCCTGTCATGATCGCCAATGTACAAATTGGTATGAGACCAATTTGGAGATATTGAATTTTTGCACAAATTCAATATCTCTAGCCTTAAGTTCAACAATGCTTGTAATGATAAACAGTAAAAAGTACAACGCGAAACTGAATTGAATTTCACAAAGTATTTATACAAATTATAATACAAATACTCTTAATATACCGTGGTTGCCACATTGTTACAAATAATAAAATAGAGTTTCATTGACTCGTAATTCGTTGCAATTGTAACTAGCGAATTATCTTGCCAAGTAATAATGTAAATCCCGTTCTGCTAATCAAATTCTCTGTGACAGCATAAACAGTAAATAGAATGAAGTCATAAAATTGTCGAAATATATGTAATGCCATTCAGGATGCTCAACATTGTTTAGGAACTTTAGTAAAACATGCGCTCCAAGTCCAAGTTCTTTATCGTATGGTTAAGTTGAACCAGCTGTAATGACACTTTCTTGGGGTCGTTTCGTTTTGCTGGGGTATCCTCAGGCTCTCCAGGTTCGTTACAATAAAATTTATATATAACCAAAATATTCAAAGACACGTTTAGGTTTTCTGTATTTTATTAGTTAGTATTATTAAATAAATTTAAAGTGTGTAAATATTGTTTAGATTAATTTTATAAATAACTGCTTAAATCACGGTGTAGATTGAAGAACGCTGGTTGTCTCCAAATGATCTGAAGCTGCGAACTGATACGAATTCAGTAGGATGTCTGTTGAATTTTACCATGTTTAATGATATGCCGCATACGCCAGCACCATAAAAAATTTGCATCAGGCTCAAAGGCTCTACTTTATTTTTACTGTTTTGCCTTCTCCAAATTTACATGCTGATCCAGTATTACGTTCATTGATTCTTGTTTTTGAAACCATGTATATAATGCCTCCTTTACCAAATCGTGTGCATCTTTTCGCTGGCGTTTACGCTTTAACTAAGACGATGAAGCAGACTTTTGAATGTCTGCTTGGTTTTTAATTATGCGATTGATTGTTGATCTTTCACAACTATATTTATTGCATAGACTACTTTTATCTACTTTAATTATTTTTATACAAATGAAGCCATAAATGCAGAAAAAATATAATTTAAGGCAACTATCTAATCGATGTAATTAAGCGAATTATACTGTACTTGATTTTTTTCACTTCCATATCTCATTAGCAATGCAATGTGTTGTTACGAATTTGCCTTATGGGATTCCGTCTTTGTTGTCGTTCGTATCTAACGTCAGTTTAAGTATTAGTACTCAATAATCTTTATTTGCTGAATGTGCTGTAGTTCTTTTAATCGTTAAATGTCTTATATAAATTGAAAGTAAAAAGAATAAACTCGTCTGTTGGCGAAACACAATTTCTCGAAGAAGCGCGAAAAAGATATCTATCTGTCTTAGTTTTTCTTATTCCTGTCAAATAACAGGTATTTTTACAGTTATATGTTATTACGGATTCAGTACGGTTTTTATGAAGTCCTGATCCTGTTAAGTATCTTTCTTATACAGTAGAATCGCGGAAAAGTTAACCGCTCCGTTTTGGGGTTGTTAACTTTTTCGAGATTGTTAACTTTTCCAAGCGGTTTTCAAAATTCATAAAAAAAAGAAAAAACTACAATAATAAGCATAGATTTGCTTAGAAATAGCTCCTTTTTTTTTTTTGTTTATGTTTTAGCCATTACAAAAGGAAAATTGTTAATTTGTACCAGTTGGTTTAAAAAAGCAGTCGAGAGCTGTTTGTTTTTTTTCTTTGGTGTAATAATTCTTGACCATTTTTGTGCGCATACTGATAAGGTCTGCCACCTGATTTGCATCGTTGTTGTCTTTGGACCATTTTATCAAGGTATTGATGCTTTTAACTGCTTTCGAGAAACTCACTTTCGGTTGTTGAATATCTTCCTCGGTAATTGAATCATCATTGTCACTATCACACACTTCGAAATGTTCCATATCTTCCGTAATTTCATCCTTGTTCCAATTTTCTATATCGTCAATGCTGATGTTAAGATTATTTCCCACTTTCAACATTAACGATTGAACTTCTCGAACTGTATCGTCGTAAACATCGTTTGCTTTAATAAATTTGGACAACGGAAGATCATCTTCACTATTGTATTGATCATCATCCCACTTTTTTATCTTATTCCACGCTTTTATAAGAATTGATTGCGGCAATTCTTCCCATGCTGAATTAAGTAGCGATATGGCGTCACAAATTGAATGTGCCTTCAAAATATTTTCCACCAGAACGTTTTCTTGCGCGGCAATGTTGCATAACAATTTGGAGCGATATCCTAATTTAACCAATCTTATGGGATTTTGATCCATTGGCTGCAAAGCCGCTGTTACGTTCAGTGGTAGATGCATGGCTACAATGTTTCCATCGTCAGACTTCAGCCTGTCAATTGGCTTATGTGCCGTGCAGTTGTCTATTAGCAACAATGCCTTTGGTGGTAAATTATTTTCAACAGAAAATTTGCGAACCTTCAAAAATTTTTATGTCATGTTCATTAGAAATGAAAAATGAAACCAAAAAATAAGTTTACCTGTTTTATAAATGAATTGTGGAACCAGTTGAAGAATAACTGTGCATTCATCCACGACTTGCTTGTATGAGCGTATTCCAATGGATTGTTAAATTCCTTAAAGCAACGTGGTTTTGCAGATTTACCGACCACCAACGGCTTCAACTTGTGCGAACCATCTGCGTTTGCACACAACAAAAATGTAATTCTTTCCTTAACAGTTTTTCTTCCCGGTGCGGCATGTTCGTTTGCTGCGACAAATGTTTTGTCCGGTAATAAACGATAAAATAGTCCAGATTCATCTGCGTTATATAGTTGGGAGTCGGAGATGCCCATTTCATTGATTTTTGCTCGTAGACTATGTACAAACGGAGTTATTTTCGGTGTATCGCTCGAAAGAATTTCCCCACAAATTTTGAGAAGGCGAATACCGTGCCGTTTTTTAAAATTTGTCAGCCATCCATCACTTGTCACTGCACAATTACGCTGCCGTTGATTCAGGAACCAATTGTACAAGTTTACCTCCAGATCAGGATATTCCGACTTATGGAGTGTTTTCTTCTCTGCACTTTCATAAGTGGCCGCCACTGTTTTTAAAATTTCTTGGCGTTTTTTGTTTATTTTACTGATGGCTACTTTAGACACACCATAATGCAGCGCTATTCGATTTCCCGCAATACCGTCATCAAGTTTTCTTAATATATCTACTTTTTGTTGCAAATTTAATCTGATTTGCCGTTTTTTCTGTATTTTTGACATTTTTTTAATAAAAAATTCACAACTAATCAACTCAAACGCTACCGAACAATTCAATCAAGGTAATTTGCGACAAGAATGAAAACATATGTTTGGAGCACAAAACAAAACAGAAAGAAAATAGAATATTCGGGGAATACCCATAATCAAAACTAGAGCTCGCACTGGCTTGTGTCGGCAAAGAAACGGTTGATTTCAAAAAAAAAAATTCATACGCTCGGAAAAGTTAACTTCGAAGTTAACTTTTTAGAGCGCTACGTGGACGCCGAAATGCTGTTAACTTTTCCGCGAGATTAACTTTTTCGAGAGTTAACTTTTCCGCGATTCTACTGTATATATTATTATAAGTGTTATCCATAAGGTTTTACATTTCTCT